ATTTCGTGGACAAGAACACAACGTTGTTCGAGGAAGATGGAGCACCGTGTCACACTGCTAGAAATACCCAAAAGTGGCAGGAAGAAAATGGTACAGCAAAAACCAATGAATAAAAACAGGCTAGAGTTCGCAGATACCCCTCGAGTAAATTTCCACGAAATTAAAAAACAACAACATCTTACAACAAAAACCAATGAACAAAAACAGGCTAGAGTTATAGAGAAAAATTTGAAAACTAAAATTTATTAAAAACGTTTTTCCCATACTATTTGTCCCCCGGTTGGACAGCGATAAGTATACGGACTTAAAACGCTAAAATCATTGGTACTATTCCATTTGGTGGATATAGCAGATAGGCTGATGTGGCTTTGCTATAAGAAAAACGCGTACTATAATAAAAAAAATAATTTAAAACAATTAATATAATAATTATCTATTTCTACAAGTAGTGTCTTTGTCACGTGGTTTAAGCTTCTTCATTTTCTGGTTTTACCTGAAGTATGAGAAAAATGCAAGCTATTTGCTTTGTGTTAAATAATAAATGATTAAAGGTTTTATTTTCGTTTACATGTAATCGGCATAACTAAACTGTATTTTTTCCAGCAATAAAAGGATACACATATTCCAGTTACGCAAAAAAAATGTATTTGCTTTAATGCAAAATGTCTGCAGTTTAGCCATATAACCAGTGAATTCCAATAAAAAATAATAATTAGACAGTAATACAAAGAATTATAAAAACAATTCGTAGAAAAATGTAATATAAATAACAAATATATTCATCATAAATAATACATACAATTTTTTCTACTCTTAAAATATCACGATAGAGGGCGATTGACGCACAAAATTTGAAAATCTAATTTTTGAGCCGTTGCAAGAAGTTGTATTAACTTCAATTCCTAATAAGTTTCTTATGTACTAATTAGTATTATTACTACGTCCAAGTGAATTACAGGATTACCAGATATGGCTTCACTTGATGAGGAGGATTGTGCAATTACAACAGAAAGTAGAAGGGTAACGAGGTGAATATAATAATCTGAACATGTCATTAATAGTAATACATAAATTAATGTGTTATTATTTCTTCACAATTTACACTTAATCAGTAACTGAGTAAGTTACCGTGTAAGCGTTACTGTTGCATTTATGATTTAGTCTTTAGGGCCTACTCTAGTCTTTAATACTTCACTACTTGTGAAGTTGTTTGTCGCTAATCAGTGATACGCTAGTAGTAGTGCAATATATAAATAAAAGTATAATAATTAATTTTAGCGACTGATATTAGGCTCATGCATGATACTAGAGATAATTGTACTAAACACTGACAGTAACAATGATGTTTGTAAGTTATAGTTATACTGTATATTGTAATGAGTAATATTATAATTATAAAATAATATTGTAATCTAATATCAGTGTATTACAACTTAGGAAACAATAAACGTTATCAGAGCTGTCAACCTTTAGGAATTTGTTTGAATGAGACTAGAAAAATTTCCAAAAGTAAAATTTTAATAAACTTTAAAAGTGTCTGGAGTCATGCTTCCTTAGAAAATTATTTATTCAGTGAAGCAAAATGGTGCAATTTGGTGTATTTCCTAGATCACAGTGATACTGAATTTCACTTGGATCCAGCCCAGCCAATCAACTAACCAAAATGTGTTATAAATTACAGAAAGCTTATCAAAATGTGAGATTTTTTTACTAACACATGTAATGTGAGCATAAGAATAACTCAGATGCATGAATGTTGGTAGATCTGCATTATATAAATTATATAATTGTTAACTTATAATTTAGGCTTAAATTTATTGATTATAAATGTTTGCTGTGTTTTGCAAATGTAGAAATGTTTGATCACAAACTGAAAAAAATATAATTATTGTTAGCCTACATTAAACAAATTAATAAGTTAATAATTATACATTTAATGTCAGCTTGTTCTAAAACTTCATGAATCTGCATTATTATTGAAGTGAAAAAGTAGCACAAATGTTTTGTAATACTGTTTGCATAGTGATAAACTTATTAGTAACATAATAATAAAAGCAATGGATGTGTACTCTATATCAGTAGTTTCAGAAAATATTTTCCGAGAGTACAGTGAGATTTTTGGTAACCTCTTATGCAGAGAAATTTGATGCTTTTAAAAATCCCAGTGAAAATATGAACAAATATTTCACACTTAGTATCTGTTGTTCCAAGCATTTATTGACTTAGACATTTATTTCTCAAGCAGCTATCATAAAATATAAGCAACTGAATTATAGTCTGGACATTTATCCTCCAAATATTCCTGTAAACTTTAACAAGATGGCATCTTACCCATCTTTTCTTATAAGGAAATAAATTAAGAGATCTTTCCTATCCCTATGAACTAAATCTTCCATCCCTGGAATCATTGCAAAAGCCCTTCTCTGAACCCTTTCCAATAAGTCAATATCCCTTTTATAAATAACGAGACCAAAACTATTCACAGTATTCTAAGTAAGGTCTAACTAGTGATTAGTATAAAGAGATAAGTACCTCTTTTTAACTTATAATCAATATGTTAATAAACACACCTTAAAATTGTATTAGCTTTGTTAAAAGCAACAGAGCAGTGTCTCAATGACTTGAATGACTTATCCACCACTGTGGCAAGAACCTTTTCTTCAATCATTCTAGTAAGTGGTGTGTCAACTATTAAACATGATCCAAATCTTACTATAATAGATGTAGGGTGTATGTCAGTATCTATATATGTAACCAAAACTCCTGTGCCATTTATTGAATGGCACCACAAACAAAAATCCATAAAAAAATTCACACTTTGGATATTCAAGATTCACACAATTAGAGAAATAGAGGTATGTGCAACAACCATTTCTTTATAATAGAACACAATTTTGAATAAAAGTACTATACTCACAAGAACACAACTTTCACTAGGACTGTACGTGAGGGCTTGATTACATCTTTATCGATGTAATTTTTAAATGTAATACTGAGAAACCAGATTTCTTAAAAACTATTATTCTTTCAATAAACAGTACTACTATTATTATATAAAAACATTACAGTTTAATATTACATTTAATAATTCCTAGCACAAACAACCACCTGTAGGGTAGCATTTCTGCTAGTTATGATAATTTAAATGTATTACTTAAGAATAATAGTCATTAGCCAAATATTTGTTAAACTAACTAATTAATTTGTGTCATCCTGTAGTAACTCAACATCTACAAGCAACTAGAAAATAGAATTTAATATCATCCAAAGACTTAGTAATTATGTTCCTATCAATATCTTTAAGTTAAATAAGAAAATGCAAAGGCCCAAGCACTGCTCCCACCCCGGAAGTACTCCACTGATAACAAGATAACATCACATAACATCCTATTCACTAAATTAAACTAGATGATAAAAAATTCAAAGCCAGCCCATATCATTCAAATATTCATCAAGCTTTTCTTTAAATTAACAGTATATACCATATATGAAGATAACCTGTTCCAAAGATCAACCAGAAAAATATAGCTGTCTTAGCTGAAGTTGACTCCTACCCTGGCAAACTTTGTGTGTCCTCTAATCTTACCATTTTCACCATTAAATATAAAAAGGATGAGGAAACAACACTGTCAATTCCTTTTTAAAGTCTTAAATACATTGATTAGATCCCCTCTAATTATTTTTTTCAAGAGAAAACAAGTTCAGAGATCTTAACTTTTTTATTATAATCTTTCCATCCTAGTAGTCTTCCTCTGAACCCTTTCCAACAATTCAATGTCCTTTCTATGTGTCTGTTTTTACATACAGGCAGAATATTTTGTGTAATATATAAACACTTGTGTAATCTCTGTTGCTTTTATGATATGGTTCACTAGATAATTGTGCAACATTTCTTTTATCTGACTATAGAAGTTTGCCACTACAGAAGTAAAACTTACGGTAATTTTTATATCTCTTATTAAAAATAGAAGTAATATTAACAGTTTCAAGTCTTCAATCCTTGACCTTTTGCCAATTCTCAATTAACTTGCCAAAAAATTAAAGGAAGAAATGCTTGCATATTTGATCTTTGACCTCCTTTTTAAACCTTTAGGAAGAACATTATCTGGCCCTGGTGCTTTATTTTTTATCTCAGTTTTTCTTTTTACTGTCAAGGGATTAATATCTACATGATTCAGGTTAATCCAAATATTTCTCATAGAATGTTCAGGACCAAAAATATTACTAACAACTTCTTGTAAAAACAGAGGATAAGAAAACACGTAAATGTTCCCCATCTCATAGTCTTCAACAAAAACTTTGTCATCAGCATTTGTTAGGGACCCATATCTCACTTTAACATTAACATTATCATCTATTAGTTTCTTATAAGTTTTTTTTTATTTCACCATTTTTTGAGAATGGAAGCTGGCTAATGTTACATCTATTTTTAAAGGAGGTGACAGTCATTGTCCGGGTAATTGTAAGATAGTTAGACATGCTTCTGAGGTGGTAAAGGTTTTGGAGAAGCGGGTTAAAGATGCTTTGCAAATCAACCTAACAATTTCAATGACAAGGAACCCACTTTGAGACTAATAATACTTGGAGACAGCTTGAATGGGTAATGAAGAAAAACTTTAATATAAGTTTAACATAACAGCAATTGTACAACATTTCGACAAGGTTTTGTCGTCATTGGGTACAAGTAGTTTACACTGACACATACATACAGTATAGAAAAATCAAGGAATCCATCTTAATTGAACAAAACAACCCTACTCTAAACCAACACCCTGAAGAATTTTTGAATCTTTTGACCTCTAAAGATGTTACTGCTTATTAATGATGGTAAAAGTGTGGATCCGGCATATCTTGATTTGTGGAAGGCTTTCAACAAAGTGCCACTTGGAAAATGTTTAAAGAAAAGTATCTTAGTGAGTCTAGGGGTCACTGAAGGATAATTTAGCTCAATAGGTTAAGGGTTTGTCAGAGGAGAGGAAGTAAAGGGCTGTAATGAATAGATTGGAGTTGCAAGTACTTGAATCATTTTAACAGGATGGTCAGCCTTTGTAATTGATTGTCTTCAGATGTGGTAAATACAACAGAATTCCGAGGAAGTTCAAGAAGGCATTATCCCCCAAAGTCAGCAACTCTCATCACTAACTAAAATTAGTTCCAATGAAGTCATTAAATGTTCCTTAACAGTTTCCAAACCTACTTTTATGGAGGCCATTAGTAACGCTTTTTCCATCCTTAAGACCTGTCTCAGAGGTCAAGCCCATTTACCTGTTTATCCAGACACATCCTCACTAATTGCTTTTCTATTTTCTTTCACTACTCAAAATTTCCTACCTACACTTGACCTGAGACAAAAAACTGTTCTATAAAGCACCAAAAAGCTCTCTATATCAGGGTAACGACTTCTTTAGTTTGCTATTAACATAATTTACTATGACATGGTCTACAAAAAAGAACTTTTTTTTAAATTTCTCCCACTAAACATTTGTATTTACATGTATCCTCTCCTCAACAGTTTGAACCCATTTTGCAACCTGTTAAGCATCTTTCTGTTTTAATTTTCCTCATATGTTCAACACATTTGCGTATTATTTTTAAGAATATGCTGAAAATAATTTACAAAAGAGAACATAACCTATTATCAACATATTTAATTTTATAAAAACACAATTCACCTAGAGATATTTTTAATTAAATACGTGTTCATCCAAACTTGCCAATTTTGTTTATTTGTACTTCGGATTGTATATTATTCCATATTTTAACCAAACTCTTAGAAAAGAAATAGAAAATCAGCTCCTAGAGACATTTCGCAGTTCTCTTGACCAGCTGTTTAATATCTGGGATGAGATTGGTATCTATGGAGATCAACGCCAGGAAAGAACAGATGTAGTGATGAAGCATCTTCGTACATTGCTGGAAGAGATGGTGGAGGAAGAACAGTGTTTACGGAGACGTTTGTTGCAGAATGTAGAGAGCTGTGGTCAAGAAATCCTCAGACTTTGCCAAGAATTATCAACTCAGCCATATGAGGTAATTTTTTTTATGCACACAGTATCTTCTAAGGAAATTAAGAAATGCAATTTAAAACTTATCTATAAAGAATGTATATATTGTTTGTAAAAATTATTGAATGTTATTGTTACAAACTCAAAATACTTGAATAGGAACACTAAATTAATGTCATAAGATTAACTTAAAAAAAAGAGAACATTTGTGAAAGTCAATATTGATGAATTAGTATTGTAGTAGTTTAAGTTAATTTAAAAAGTTCCTTACTAGCAAATTCTTAAAGACTAGCTCTTTAGCTCAGTTGTAGAGCATTTCTGTAGCATGACAGGTTCAGATTCAGGGTGAGGAAATATAGTGACCATCCCATGACCCTGAAGCTAGACCTGAATATGGGCCTTGTTTGTGAGAGGGAGATAATTTTGTAGTTTGGGTTGTTAAAAAAAGCATCTTATTAGCAAGTTGTAGGGTACTAGCCCTTCAATTTAGTTGGTGTAGTGAATATTGGGTGCTACTATAGCATGTGGTCTACAAAGATATTTACACTATAGTGTGCAGTCTATACAGATACTATCATCATCACTGTTTTAACTTTTGTTTATTTGCAACTGGTGCCATTTATTATAAGTAATGCTTTGAAACTAAGAAAGTATAAAATGCCATTACATGACATTTTTGGGGCAAATTTGGAATGAAATAAATTTCAACTATCAAAGCAAGCACAATTATAAATCAAATTTAAGGTACTCTTTTGTAACACAACTTATTAAATTATTATTATTTGCTGAACAAAAACGTGGATAGGTATAACTTATATAGCAAGAAATATCTTTGTAGGCCACATGCTATAGTAGCACCGAATATTGTTTGTAGCTTGAAATAAGCAAGCAATATATTACGTTAAAGCCACAGTATTATTTAGACGTACAAGGTGAACATGAACAACAGACATCATAAATGGCTGCTTTACCACACCATCGCATACAGTCAAGACAATGAAAGTAGTAATAGCTAATATTTTGTTTACTTGGATTGTTGGAATAATCAAGAACACAAATTTCAATTATTTGTTTGTTTGCATGACATTAATTGATTTAACTGTAATTCCAATTAATCATTTATTTTACGTGTCACTAATCTGTGTTATCAATGCTCATAGGTAATAAATTAATTGAGTTAATCACCCGACTCTAGTTTGTGAGTAGTTCATCTACTGCCTTTACAAAAAGACTTAAAAGCTTTTAAAAAGTCAATTTTAACAACAAATATTCTTGTGATCTTATGATCTTTTCAGACTTTTGCCACTTGAACTTAACATATGATATAACAAGTTTTAGTATGAAATATGGACCTTGTTGTAACAAATGAACAAATTTTTCTTAAAAGAGATAAGACTTGCACATAAAAAAATACAAAGATGTGTCACTAAAATACAAATACAAAGATGTGTCACTAAAGCTGAAATTGGTTTGGGTTTATTGTGAAAAATTAAAATTGGTTTCACAATATTCTATCTATATTACATTTGTAATTAAAAATATACTATAATCCAAGTCAGTATTTTCAATTACTTATTATTTTGAGTAGGAATTTAAAAAAGTTGTTGCTGTTTGTAATGACTCCATTGACTAATTATGAAGTAATTTTGTAGGTTTGAGTGAATACTTGTTATTGTAAATAAAGTGAAAAGTTTGAGTTATAAGTAACTAATGTTTTGTGGTTCTGGAAAGTAGGTAATTCCATACTGGGAAGTCTTTAAAAAAGCTCAGAATTTTGTTCTTGTATAAACCTTTGAATATATATATAATGTGTAGTAAGATGTGTAAATGCTTATTAACATAAAATTAAGCTCTAAAGCTATTCTATAAGAATTTTGATTTGTCCTTATTGTGCACTTAGTTTTGTATTTTTACCCCTTTTTTTTTTGCATTTTAAAATCATATGGCCCTTGCCAGTTGACTGGTATAGGGACATATATTAAAGCTTATCATAATGTTGGAATAATCTTTTATGTATACATGCTTCAACTGAAATTTTTTGAATTGCTAAAGCAACTATTGTGAAGTTATATAATAAATTACTATTGTAGTACTTTTGTATATCATTTGTATTTTTAAAATCCTTTCTCCACACCAAACAAGACATCTTTCTAATTTCTCCAAATTAGAACTAGGTTATGTACAGTGTTGTTGCTATTTGGCTTTAAACATCATCATCCATTACAGCCAGATGAAGGTTTATCGATTCTTCAACTAGAAAAAGACCTAAGAACCAGAGCAAATGAATTGTCAAGAGAAAAGCATGAACGTCTAAAAGCGTTGAAACATCTTCGTGATGCTGAGCAGAAGCTTTGTACAAATTTAGCTATGCCACCTCACGTGTTTCAGAGTGGATCAATTGTTCCCCCAAAAGAGGATCTTCAAGAATTAGAACAACATATCACAATGCTTAAAGAGGAAAAGGTATTGAATTATTTTATCACATATGTAGACTGGATAACCAGCCTATAGATTTTATGTCTGTATCACATGCACTGTGGAAGAGGTTATTTCGGTGAAGGTAAACATGTATATATTTGTTTTGCAATCTGTAATAGTTTAGTCATCGTAATGAAATAATAATAACTGAACTTGTAGAACTTCACTTTTCTATATCATTCCTGTATCTTGATAAAGTTTTAGGGTATTTGTTTCATAAGCTTTTGGCTTGGATCAGTTTTAGGTAAATACATCATATTTAAATACTAGCTATACTACAAAGTGGTAACTGGAGTAAATTTAGGCATATAGTATAGTGACAAAATGACCATAAACTCTGGTATAGTCTGTTAGTCATTGTGATTCTAGTGGTGTATGTAGAAAGTTGCTCTTGAGCAAATTGTGGAAATATGTTAACTTCTGATTAGACTCAGAATGGCTGGTATAGTCTGTTAGTCATTGTGATTCTAGTGGTGTATGTAGAAAGTTGCTCTTGAACAAATTGTGGAAATATGTTGAGTGAAATAAATTATCATATTGCACTAGAGTGTAGTATACACTTATAAAATGCTATTTAAATTGAATAATGTATGTGAGAACATGTTTAGACCAAAAATAAGGCATATAGTCTTTATCTTTTTTACAATTTTTCATGAAAAATTTAATAAATTTTACTTCAGCAGTGTTTTCTCTGTTAAAATATAACTTGCATTTAGCAGTTTTCAGCTACTTCAGATATTGTGGCCTGTTATTGAAATTCAGACATTGATAAATTTTTGATATTTTTTGTTCTATTTTGTGCACTGAATTATATAAAATTCTATAGAAATGAAAATTCATTTTTGAAAAGAGAATTCAGAAGACCTATGGATTTATTAAAAAGCCTCCAAAACAGTTTTTTTTTATTTATTTTTTGTTGTTAATGATTTTAAGGTTTTGTTACTTTTAGATTAAGTCTTACAACGAAATCACTAGAACAGCAGGATAGTATTTTTATTTGTAGTGCTTTTAGAAAGACAGTAAGAGATATTACAATAGCTATTTTTACATAATAAAATGGGTGACAAACATTGCTCTGCTTACCTGTTTTTACTATTTATATATATTCCTTAATACCTTCAAATAAAGATACAGTTTTTATGCTCCTACAGCAATTCAGAGCATGTTGGTTTGTCCCTGTATGTTCATCTGTCCTAGTCTTGTTGATAGCATGTCTTGAGATTGGATGTATGAATGGATTTGGCTAAACTTATACAACTGGTACAACACAGAGAGTTCTAGATCTGATTAGTTTTTGAAGGTTAAAAGATTGCTGGTACATAGAAAATCCATCCCAATCTTGCAGACAGGTGTTATTTATTCAAATTAGGAAGATTTACATACACAGTAAACGTTAATGGGGACATAGTTTACCAGATTTAGCCATCTTGTTTCTTATTTTGTCTGTCAGGTTTGATAGCTTGTGGAAAGTTTTTAGCACATTTAGTAGCTCAGGTTTTTCTCTTTGGTGTCTGGGTCTGAAATGAAGTAATAGTTAGGTTCACTGATGGTATATAATCAACATGAGTAAGATCTCCATTTTTATCTCCCATTGCAAGTTGACATCCACACACTTCAGTATTTTCAGTCACAACAAACTTATTTTTAACAGCACGTGAACGACCTGTAGTCTAAAACCAAGCATTTCTTCAAGAAACTGGTCCAATTACAACCAACAACAAGACAATATCACAGCCTCCCATTATTCATTGATAATAATCAAGTCCATCATTATTGGATTATCTTTTGACAAAAGCTATTACTTGTAAGTATTTTAAATGATTACTCTAGCACCTTCAGTAAACAAGTTGAACATGTGATTACTGTAGTTTATAAACTGTCAAGTAATCACATGATTTTGTAGATAGGCAATGTAGGTCACACGTACTCACTGTTTTGGGAAGTAGAACATTGATTACTAAACCTGTAACCACATGTTCTTATACCAACCATTTTCTGGGACTGCTAGGGTTAAAGCTAACTTTTTTGGCTATTGGCAAATGCTTGTCAGATACTTTCAAACTTGCTTGCAAAGTACTAGCCTCATGAGGGGGTGGGGGGATTACATGCCCTTAACAGGTAACCAGGTAGCTGATGTAAGTTTCTAAGGAGTGTCACACTTTAAACTTAATATATTTTTTAATATACTATAAAATACTAGATCTAAGTATATGATTATAACTACTTTTCCCAGTATGAAATGAGAAAAAAAAAACAGCTCAAAAATGCTGCTTGAAAGCACTATTGTTCCCATGCTATTGTAAACATGGGAAGCCCTTTGAAAACTAAACATGGGTGATGCACAACAAGCTACTAGAAAAGGCTTATCACCTGATTATCATATTGTGGTTTTCCCATACATGTACATGTGGACAGCTTTACTGTTGACAAGTGATCTGAATACTTATAATCATGCCCTTTAATGGACACTAGTTAAATACTTGCATATAGCCGGCTAGCCATCACTAATTTCAAGCTCTATACTGCTTTTGTTTTGTCAAACTTGCTTTACTGTCTGACTCGCTTTTTTATACTTTTTAACATTAATGAATATGTAAAAAGTTGCAATCACTAAGTTTGTATTAAATTTAAAATTTTTAAGTGAATTGCAAAAATACTTAACCCTAAAAGAAATAATTTTGTCTTTCAGTGTTTTCAGACATGAAATTGAACATACCTGTACCAAATTGCAGGTAGCTTCAAATCATCTTCCACTATAAAAGTTGTATTTATGTATATTCATTAAAATGTTTATGCTTATTGGTCAGGAGAGAAGCCATTGTAACATTACTTGAACTACATGTAACTTGTCATTATCCCATTATCAGAACTATTTTTTAGTAAATGGCTTATTCTTTACACTATATCAATGAATGGATCTTATTTTATTACCAATGTCATCTACAGATAAGCACTTGTACTGTTAATAAGTAGATAAAAACTTGAAAGCCTAAAACTTTTTATACCTATATTAAAAAAATGTTTTAACCAGTTTATTTATGCTTACAGTCCAGTTTAATAACATTAATACTATTTAAATATTTGTTTGATACTTTAACTGGCCTTCCAAACTTGGTGAAATTGTATGTGTGTATTCGTACATGTACAAACCAAAACCGAGATGTGTGAAATTCAAAACAAAGGCCATTGCTTATAACAAATTTTAACTATATGAACTTATCAAAATTTCATGAATAACTAACAAAATATATAAAACTAAATTAGAAATCATAACATCTGTCAATAAAGTATGAAAGGTATAATTTTTAAAAGAAAATTTCTGCAGTAATAGTGTCCAAAATCTTCAAGGCAAACATTTTCCTTGAAAAGTTATACCTTTTATACATTATTGACATAATCTATGTTTCTTAATTTTGTTTTATATGTGTTGCTAGTTGTTCATGAAATTTTGAGAGACTTGTATAGTTGAAATTGGCTACGAGTGATGACTTTAGTTTTGAATTTCACACTATAAATCTTGGTTTTGGTTTATGTACAGGTTTCCATCATTTTTATATAGTGCTGATTTCATTGCCTATATACAACTGAGGCAATTTATAGTATTAGACCTATTTTATAAAACCTATTAAAACACTATAACCCAAGCACTTTCAAAAGTGCTCAGGTTTTATCGTTTTATATTAAGAGTTACAGAACCTATGCATTCTTTTGACATCATAGACTTATATATATATATATATATATATATATATACACACACACACACACACTCGTAGTATTAAGTAGTAATTAATTACTTTACTTTACTTTACTAGTTAGTT